ATGCTTGACATAGCAGTAACAATTCCTACTTTACAAAAACAGTTTCATCGTAAAGCGTTAAACATAAAGCGTCAATTTTGGAAGCAAACTGTCCTGAATTCTTTTTTAAAAATTTAGAATTTGGCACAGAATTTCACTTTCGTGATACCATAAAACTCATCGTTATAAACAATTTTTGTAGTTTTAAGTACTCAGGAGTCTGAAAAATGACATTACCTGATGCAAAAAAAAATTAGTTGAACACATCTGTAAAATCAAAGCATAATGAAAATATGAGAAGCCGCTAAGTAGCCAAAAAGCTAAGGATTGATTCATTTTCGAAATTTGATTCTTAACTACTGCAGGGCTTCTATCGGAAAATCTCTCAGTAAAAGTTTCTGATTTGTATGAAAAAATAACACAGTCTGGTGCTGAAAATGGTTATAAATTCACTTTTAGAGAAGCCAAATTCATTAATCGTCTAGAATTTTTTTAAAATTTATCTATAAAAGAAGTGTTTATGTTTCAAGATAAGCCAAAAAAACAAGTTGCGCTTTCAGATTTAACCGATCAAGGTTTCAAGGATTCATAGTCCAAGGTGCTAACCATTACACCACGAGACCTGTTTAAACGATTTACCACAGCAGTAACAATTTCTACTGTACAAAAACAGTTTCATCGTACAGCGTTAAATATAAAGCGTCAATTTTGGAAGCAAAAAGTCCGGAATTCTTTTTTTTAAATTTAGAATTTGGCACAGATTTTCACTTTTGTGATACTATAAAACTCATCGTCAAAAACACTTTTTGTAGTTTTAGGTGTTCAGGATTCTAAAAAATGACATTACCGGAAGCAAACAAAATTAGTTGAACTCATCTGTAAAATCAAGGCATAATGAAAATTTGAGAAGCCGATGAAAATATGAGAAGCCGCAATTAGCCAAAAACCTAAGGGCTGTTTCATCGTCGACAGTTGATTCTTAACTACTGCAGGTCTTCTATCGGATAAACTCATAGTAAAATTTACTGATTTTATGTAAAAATTAACACAGTCTTCTGCTGAGGATGTTATAAATTCAGTTTTAGGGAAGTCAAATCCCTAGTCGTCTAAAAGAAACTTAATTTATATAAAAAAGTAGTATTGAAATGTTTTAAGATTAGCCACCAAAAACAGTTTGAGATTTCTGATTTAACCGATTAAGGTCTCACTGAGGTTTGAACTCGGATCTTTGGATTCAAAGTCCAAGGTGCTAACCATTACACCATGAAACCTATCACAATTGCTTAACACAGTAGTAACAAAACCTACTGTACAAAAACAGTTTCATCGTAAAGCGTTAAATATAAAGCGTCAATTTTGGAAGCAAAAAGTCCGGAATTCTTTTTTTTTAATTTAGAATTTGGCACAGATTATCACTTTTGTGATACTATAAAACTCATCGTCAAAAACACTTTTTGTAAATTAAGGTGTTCAGGATTCTAAAAAATGACATTACCTGAAGCAAAAAAAAAATTAGTTGAACACATCTGTAAAATCAAGGCATATTGAAAATTTGAGAAGCCGATGAAAATATGAGAAGCCGCAATTAGCCAATAACCTGAGGGCTGTTTCATCGTCGACAGTTGATTCTTAACTACTGCAGGTCTTCTATCGGATAAACTCATAGTAAAATTTACTGATTTTATGTAAAAATTAACACAGTCTTCTGCTGAGGATGTTATAAATTCAGTTTTAGGGAAGTCAAATCCCTAGTCGTCTAAAAGAAACTTAATTTATATAAAAAAGTAGTATTGAAATGTTTTAAGATTTGCCACCAAAAATAGTTTGAGATTTCTGATTTAACGGATTAAGGTCTCACCGAGATTTATACTCGGATCTTTGGATTCAAAGTCCAAGGTGCTAACCATTACACCATGAAACCTATAACGATCACTTAACACAGTATAACAAAACCTACTGTACAAAAACAGTTTCATCGTAAAGCGTTAAATATAAAGCGTCAATTTTGGAAGCAAAATAACCGGAATTCTTTTTTTTAAATTTAGAATTTAGCACAGATTTTCACTTTTGTGATACTGTAAAACTCATCGTCAAAAACACTTTTGTAGTTTTAGGTACTCAAGATTCTAAAAAATGACATTACCTGAAGCAAAAAAAAAATTAGTTGAACGCATCTGTAAAATCAAAGCATAATGAAAATTTGAGAAGCCGATGAAAAAATGAGAAGCCGCAATTAGCCAATAATCTAAGGGCTGCTTCATCGTCGACAGTTGATTCTTAACTACTGCAGGTCTTTTATCGGATAAACTCATAGTAAAACTAACTGATTTTATGTAAAAATTAACACAGTCTGCTGCTGAGGATGTTATAAATTCAGTTTTAGGGAAGTCAAATCCCTAGTCGTCTAAAAGAAACTTAATTTATATAAAAAAGTAGTATTGAAATGTTTTAAGATTAGCCACCAAAAACAGTTTGAGATTTCTGATTTAACCGATTAAGGTCTCACTGAGGTTTGAACTCGGATCTTTGGATTCAAAGTCCAAGGTTCTATCCATTACACCATGAAACCTATAACAATCGCTTAACACAGCAGTAACAAATCCTACTGTACAAAAACAGTTTCATCGTAAAGAGTTAAACATAAAGCGTCAATTTTGAAAGCAAAATGTCAGGAATTCTTTTTAAAAAAAATTAGAATTTGGCACAGATTTTCACTTTTGTGATACTATAAAACTCATCGTTATAAACAATTTTTGTAGTTTTAAAAACTCAGGAGTCTGAAAACCGACATTACCTGATGCAAAAAAGAATTAGTTGAACACATCTGTAAAATCAAAGCATAATGAAAATATGAGAAGCCGCAAAGTAGCCAAAAAGCTAAGGGCTGATTCATTTTCGAAATTTGATTCTTAACTACTGCAGGGCTTCTATCGGATAAACTCACAGTAAAATTTACTGAGTTGTATGAAAAAATAACACAGTCTGGTTCTGAGGATGGTTATAAGTTCAAGTTTAGAGAAGTCAAATTCATCAATCATCAAGAATTTTTTTAAATTTATCTAAAAAGAGGAATTTATATGTTTCAAGATTAGCCACTAAAAACAAGTTGCGCTTTCAGATTTAACCGATCAAGGTCTCTTCGAGACTTGAACTCGGATCTTTGGATTCAAAGTCCAAGGTACTAACCATTACACCACGAGACCTGACTAAACGATTTACCACAGCAGTAACAATTTCAACTGTACAAAAACAGTTTCATCGTAAAGCGTTAAATATAAAGCGTCAATTTTGGAAGCAAAATGTCCGGATTTTTTTTAATTTAGAATTTGGCACAGATTTTCTCTTTTGTGATACTATAAAGTTCAACGTCAAAAACAATTTTTGTAGTTTTAGGTACTCAGGCGTCTGAAAAACGACATTACCTGATGCAAAAAAGAATTAGTTGAACACATCTGTAAAATCAAAGCATAATGAAAATATGAGAAGCCGCAAAGTAGCCAAAAAGCTAAGGGCTGATTCATTTTCGAAATTTGATTCTTAACTACTGCAGGGCTTCTATCGGATTAAATCACAGTGAAATTTACTGATTTGCGTGAAAAAAATAACACAGCCTGGTTCTGAGGATGGTTATAAGTTCAAGTTTAGAGAAGTCCAATTCATTAATCGTCTAGAATTTTTTTAAAATTTATCTAAGAAAGAGGAATTTATATGTTTCAAGATTAGCCACCAAAAACAAGTTGCGCTTTCAGATTTAACCGATCAAGGTCTCACCGTGACTTGAACTCGGATCTGTGGATTCAAAGTCCAAGGTGCTAACCATTACACCACGAGACGTGACTAACCAATTTACCACAGCAGTAACAATTTCTACTTTACAAAAACAGTTTCATCGTAAAGCATTAAATATAAAGCGTCAATTTTGGAAGCAAAATGTCCGGATTTTTTTTTAATTTAGAATTTGGCACAGATTTTCACTTTTGTGATACTATAAAACTCAACGTCAAAAAGAATTTTTGTAGTTTTAGGTACTCAGGATTCTAAAAAATGACATTACCTGAAGCAAAACTTTTTTTTTATTAAATCTGTAAAGTCAAGGCATACTGAAACATGAGAAGCCGCAATTAGCCAATAACCTAGGGGCTGTTTCATCGTCGACAGTTGATTCTTAACTACTTCAGGTCTTCTATCGGATAAACTCATAGTAAAACTTACTAATTTTATATAAAAATTAACACAGTCTGCTGCTGAGGATGTTATAAATTCAGTTTTAGGGAAGTCAAATCCCTAGTCGTCTAAGAGAAACTTAATTTATATAAAAAAAAGTAGTATTGAAATGTTTTAAGATTAGCCACCAAAAACAGTGTGAGATTTCTGAATTAACCGATTGAGGTCTCACCGAGATTTGAACTCGGATCTTTAGATTCAAAGTCCAAGGTGCTAACCATTTCACCATTAAACCTATTACAATCGCTTAACATAGCAGTAACAAATCCTACTGTACAAAAACAGTTTCATCGTAAATGGTTAAACATAAAGCGTCAATTTTGAAACCAAAATGTCCGGATTTCTTTTTTAAAAATTTAGAATTTGGCACAGATTTTCACTTTTGTGATACTAAAAAACTCATCGTTATAAACAATTTTTGTAGTTTTAAATACTCAGGAGTCTGTAAAACGACATTACCTGATGCAAAAAAGAATTAGTTGAACACATCTGTAAAATCAAAGCATAATGAAAATATGAGAAGCCGCAAAGTAGCCAAAAAGCTAAGGGCTGATTCATTTTTGAAATTTGATTCTTAAGTACTGCAGGGCTTCTATCGGATAAACTCACAGTAAAATTCACTGATTTGTATGCAAAAAAAACACAGTCTGGTTCTGAGGATGATTATTAGTTCAAGTTTAGAGAAGTCAAATTCATTAATCGTCAAGAATTTTTTTAAATTTATCTAAAAAAGAGGAATTTATATGTTTCAAGATTAGCCACCAAAAACAAGTTGCGCTTTCAGAATTAACCGCTCAAGGTCTCACCGAGACTTGAACTCGGATCTTTGGATTCAAAGTCCAAGGTGCTAACCATTACACCACGAGACTTGACTAAACGATTTACCACAGCAGTTACAATTTCTACTGTACAAAAACAGTTTCATCGTAAAGCGTTAAATATAAAGCGTCAATTTTGGAAGCAAAATGTCCGGATTTTTTTAAATTTAAAATTTGGCACAGATTTTCACTTTTGTGATACTATAAAGTTCAACGTCAAAAACAATTTTTGTAGTTTTAGGTACTCAGGAGTCTGAAAAACGACATTACCTGATGCAAAAAAGAATTAGTTGAACACATCTGTAAAATCAAAGCATAATGAAAATATGAGAAGCCGCAAAGTAGACAAAAAGCTAAAGGTTGATTCATTTTCGAAATTTGATTCTGAACTACTGCAGGGTTTCTATCGGAAAAACTCCAGTAAAAATTACTGATTTGTATGCAAAAAATAACACAGTCTGGTGCTGAGAATGGTTATAAATTCAGGTTTAGAGAAGCCAAATTCATTAATCGTCTAGAATTTTTTTAAAATTTATCTAAAAAAGAAGTGTTTATATGTTTCAAGATAAGCCAAAAAAACAAGTTGCGCTTTCAGATTTAACCGATCAAGTTCTCACGGATTCATAGTCCAAGGTGCTTACCATTACACCACGAGACCTGATTAAACGATTTACCACAGCAGTAACAATTTCTACTGTACAAAAACAGTTTCAACATAAAGCGTTAAATATAAAGCGTCAATTTTGGAAGCAAAATGTGCGGACTTTTTTTTATTAATTTAGAATTTGGCACAGATTTTCACTTTTGTGATACTATAAAACTCAACGTCAAAAACACTTTTTGTAGTTTTAGGTACTCAGGATTCTAAAAAATGACATTACCTGAAGCAAAACTTTTTTTTTGATTACATCTGTAAAGTCAAGGCATAATGAAATATGAGAAGCCGCAATTAGCCAATAACCTAAGGGCTGTTTCATCGTCGAAAGATGTTTCTTACCTACAGCAGGGCTTACTATCGGAAAAACTCAAACTAAAAAAACTACCTGATTTATATCTAAACATTAACACAGACTGGTGCTGAGGAAGATTATAAAATCAGTTTTAGGGAATTCAAACTCATTAGTCGTCTAAAAAAATTTTAATTTAAAAAAGAAGAATTCAAAGGTTTTAAGATTAGCCACCAAAAATCAGTTGCGATTCGAGATGTAAACGATTAAGGTCTCATCGAGATTTCAACTCGGATCTTTGGATTCAAAGTCCAAGGTGCTAACCTTTACACCAAGAAACATGTAACAAACGCTTGACACAGCAGTAACAATTCCTACTGTAGAAAAACAGTTTCATCGTAAAGCGTTAAAAATAAAGCTTCAATTTTGGATTGGAAGCAAAATGTCCGGAATTCTTTTTTTTTAGTTTAGAATTTAGCACAGATTTTCACTTTTGTGATACTATAAAACTCATCGTCAAAAACATTTTTGTAGTTTTAGGTACTCAAGATTCTAAAAAATGACATTACCTGAAGCAAAAAAAAATTAGTTGAACACATCTGTAAAATCAAAGCATAATGAAAAATTGAGAAGCCGATGAAAAAATGAGAAGCCGCAATTAGCCAATAATCTAAGGGCTGCTTCATCGTCGACAGTTGATTCTTAACTACTGCAGGTCTTTTATTGGATAAACTCATAGTAAAACTAACTGATTTTATGTAAAAATTAACACAGTCTGCTGCTGAGGATGTTATAAATTCAGTTTTAGGGAAGTCAAATCCCTAGTCGTCTAAAAGAAACTTAATTTATATGAAAAAGTAGTATTGAAATGTTTTAAGATTAGCCACCAAAAACAGTGTGAGATTTCTGATTTAACCAATTGAGGTCTCACCGAGATTTGAACTCAGATCTTTGGGTTCAAAGTCCAAGGTTCTATCCATTACACCATGAAACCTATAACAATCGCTTATTACAGCAGTAACAAATCCTACAGTACAAAAACAGTTTCATCGTAAAGGGTTAAACATAAAGCGTCAATTTTGAAAGCAAAATGTCAGGAATTCTTTTTAAAAAAATTAGAATTTACAGATTTTCACTTTTGTGATACTATAAAACTCATCGTTATAAACAATTTTTGTAGTTTTAAATACTCAGGAGTCTGAAAAACGACATTACCTGATGCAAAAAAGAATTAGTTGAACACATCTGTAAAGTCAAGGCATAATGAAATATGAGAAGCCGCAATTAGCCAATAACCTAAGGGCTGTTTCATCGTCGAAAGATGTTTCTTACCTACAGCAGGGCTTACTATCGGAAAAACTCAAACTAAAAAAACTACCTGATTTATAACTAAACATTAACACAGACTGGTGCTGAGGAAGATTATAAAATCAGTTTTAGGGAATTCAAACTCATTAGTCGTCTAAAAAAATTTTAATTTAAAAAAGAAGAATTCAAAGGTTTTAAGATTAGCCACCAAAAATCAGTTGCGATTCGAGATGTAAACGATTAAGGTCTCATCGAGATTTCAACTCGGATCTTTGGATTCAAAGTCCAAGGTGCTGACCTTTACACCATGAAACCTGTAACAAACGCTTGACACAGCAGTAACAATTCCTACTGTAGAAAAACAGTTTCATCGTAAAGCGTTAAAAATAAAGCTTCAATTTTGGATTGGAAGCAAAATGTCCGGAATTCTTTTTTTTTAGTTTAGAATTTAGCACAGATTTTCACTTTTGTGATACTATAAAACTCATCGTCAAAAACATTTTTGTAGTTTTAGGTACTCAAGATTCTAAAAAATGACATTACCTGAAGCAAAAAAAAATTAGTTGAACACATCTGTAAAATCAAAGCATAATGAAAAATTGAGAAGCCGATGAAAAAATGAGAAGCCGCAATTAGCCAATAATCTAAGGGCTGCTTCATCGTCGACAGTTGATTCTTAACTACTGCAGGTCTTTTATCGGATAAACTCATAGTAAAACTAACTGATTTTATGTAAAAATTAACACAGTCTGCTGCTGAGGATGTTATAAATTCAGTTTTAGGGAAGTCAAATCCCTAGTCGTCTAAAAGAAACTTAATTTATATGAAAAAGTAGTATTGAAATGTTTTAAGATTAGCCACCAAAAACAGTGTGAGATTTCTGATTTAACCAATTGAGGTCTCACCGATATTTGAACTCGGATCTTTGGGTTCAAAGTCCAAGGTTCTATCCATTACACCATGAAACCTATAACAATCGCTTAACACAGCAGTAACAAATCCTACTGTACAAAAACAGTTTCATCGTAAAGGGTTAAACATAAAGCGTCAATTTTGAAAGCAAAATGTCAGGAATTCTTTTTAAAAAAATTAGAATTTGGCACAGATTTTCACTTTTGTGATACTATAAAACTCATCGTTATAAACAATTTTTGTAGTTTTAAAAACTCAGGAGTCTGAAAAACGACATTACCTGATGCAAAAAAGAATTAGTTGAACACATCTGTAAAATCAAAGCATAATGAAAATATGAGAAGCCGCAAAGTAGCCAAAAAGCTAAGGGCTGATTCATTTTCGAAATTTGATTCTTAACTACTGCAGGGCTTCTATCGGATAAACTCACAGTAAAATTTACTGAGTTGTATGAAAAAATAACACAGTCTGGTTCTGAGGATGGTTATAAGTTCAAGTTTAGAGAAGTCAAATTCATTAATCGTCAAGAATTTTTTTAAATTTATCTAAAAAGAGGAATTTGTATGTTTCAAGATTAGCCACTAAAAACAAGTTGCGCTTTCAGATTTAACCGATCAAGACTTGAACTCGGATCTTTGGATTCAAAGTCCAAGGTACTAACCATTACACCACGAGACCTGACTAAACGATTTACCACAGCAGTAACAATTTCTACTGTACAAAAACAGTTTCATCGTAAAGCGTTAAATATAAAGCGTCAATTTTGGAAGCAAAATGTCCGGACTTTTTTAAATTTAGAATTTGGCACAGATTCTCACTTTTGTGATACTATAAAGTTCAACGTCAAAAACAATTTTTGTAGTTTTAGGTACTCAGGAGTCTGAAAAACGACATTACCTGATGCAAAAAAGAATTAGTTGAACACATCTGTAAAATCAAAGCATAATGAAAATATGAGAAGCCGCAAAGTAGACAAAAAGCTAAAGGTTGATTCATTTTCGAAATTTGATTCTTAACTACTGCAGGGTTTCTATCGGAAAAACTCCAGTAAAAATTACTGATTTGTATGAAAAAATAACACAGTCTGGTGTTGAGAATGGTTATAAATTCAGGTTTAGAGAAGCCAAATTCATTAATCGTCTAGAATTTTTTTAAATTTATCTAAAAAAGAAGTGTTTATATGTTTCAAGATAAGCCAAAAAAACAAGTTGCGCTTTCAGATTTAACCGCTCAAGTTCTCACGGATTCCTAGTCCAAGGTGCTTACCATTACACCACGAGACCTGATTAAACGATTTACCACAGCAGTAACAATTTCTACTGTACAAAAACAGTTTCAACATAAAGCGTTAAATATAAAGCGTCAATTTTGGAATCAAAATGTGCGGAATTTTTTTTTTAATTTAGAATTTGGCACAGATTTTCACTTTTGTGATACTATAAAACTCAACGTCAAAAACACTTTTTGTAGTTTTAGGTACTCAGGATTCTAAAAAATGACATTACCTGAAGCAAAACTTTTTTTTGATTACATCTGTAAAGACAAGGCATAATGAAATATGAGAAGCCGCAATTAGCCAATAACCTAAGGGCTGTTTCATCGTCGAAAGATGTTTCTTACCTACAGCAGGGCTTACTATCGGAAAAATTCAAACTAAAAAAACTACCTGATTTATATCTAAACATTAACACAGACTGGTGCTGAGGAAGATTATAAAATCAGTTTTAGGGAATTCAAAGTCATTAGTCGTCTAAAAAAAATTTAATTTAAAAAAGAAGAATTCAAAGGTTTTAAGATTAGCCACCAAAAATAAGTTGAGATTTCTGATTTAACCGATTGAACTCGGATCTTTGGATTCAAAGTTCAAGGTGCTAACCATTACAC